AGAGGCCTTAATAATTAGACTAGGGTTTTGGGGCCCAATTTGCTATAATAAGGAACCCTCCAAACTAGTGTTGGTGATTATTATTCAGGCCCCTACATTAAAGAACTACCAATACTTTTGGGGCTCCCTGCCATAATGATAGTACAATATACCGTATACAATATACCCCAAAACCCTGGTCTAATTATTTCTATCAAACTCTACAGAATCCCGAAAAGAACAAAGACTAACCCCCTAGCCCCTAAACCAAACCTGCCAAGGCTGTCACCAAGTTCATCAGCGCGATGGACAGCAAGAGCAGGAAAGACATGAAGTAAAGCAGCCTCGGCACCCGAAGCCCTGAACTAGGGTAACCCTAAACCCTAAACCCTAAACCCCGGTTTAGGGTTTAGGGTTTAGGGTTTAGGGTTTAGGGTTTAGGAATACTCCACACCATGGTTATACGGTTAAACGAGTTGAGGATTCCGTGTCGCTTCGCAGGGGATGATCGGGGAACTAGGGCTTTGTCTACCTGAAACACATCTAAGGTATGGTCGGCGTCCAAAGTAGCTAATTAATCATCAGGTACCGACCGGGGTTAAGGACAGTCGTCATGTAGGTTGCTATTTGTGGGGACATAGATTATCAATTGTTCGGCATGTGAACAACCCTAAACCCATGTCTATGCTCATGTCACAGCTTAGGGGACAGCTATCCAAGCACGGCCCTAAACCCTAAACTCCTAAACCCTAAACCCCTAACGCCTAAACCCTAAACCAAGTATTGAAGTTCAGGGCAGAGGCTGGTATCGTTTCGAAGTGTGGGGTTTCGCTCTACTCACATATCTCCTTAAAGGGTTCAAGGCTTAGGGTTTTGGGTAGGGTTCAGGGTTTAGTAACCCTTAACTTTAACCATATATACCCTTACCCCTGAAACCCAAACCCCTAAACCTCTCAACCCCTCAACCTCTCAACCCTTAACCCCTAAACCCTAAACCGTGACTGCACGCTGGATTTCCAGGGTTAAATCCTCAGCCCCAAACCCTCTACCGAAGCCTGGAACCCTACACCCCAACCCCAAACCAACAAAGCCACTAACTTAAAACAAAGCCATAAACTCAGAGTTTCGGGTAAAAAAGGGTCCCTTTAAGGCCCTTATTTATAAGGGTGCCGTACTATATGAGGACCTAAAAAAGGACCCTACTTTAGAGACAAAGCCCCAACCCAAACCTGTACCCAAGGTCCGACTTCTTCCAGAATCAGGTTTAGGGTTTCGGGTTTAGGGTTTAGGGTTTAGGATTTAGGGGAAATGGGGTTCATAACAAGAAATTCAGACGTTGTAATATAGGGGGCCTTAATGATCAGAATAGGGTTTTGGGGTATATGATACTATGATTATAATAAGGAGCCCCCACAATACGCTTGGTAATTATTTAGTCCCCTAAATGAGGGCCTTTTGAGGGGGGTGCAGGTAACCCTTGCACATGATGCTTTTGCAGTCAAGGAGCAGATAGAACTGATGCTTGATCAAAGGCTTGTAAATGATTCCGATACTGTCAAGACCTCGGTAGTAGGGTCTATGGTTTAGGGCTTAGTAGAATTCCCCATGAGTTCGATGGATTGTTGCTATTCGGAATCACGGTTGAGGGTTCAGGGTTGAGGGCTGAGGCCGGAACATTCAAAAGACTAATCATGCCCAGGCATCATGATGGTATGATCGAAAAGAAAATGGTGCGGAGCGTTTTTAGATGTCATCATCGTCATCACCAACAGTTACCATGACTCTACCCATAGGCCCCATAGTAGTTCCTTTTTGTGGTTTATATTTGGGATCCCAGTAGGTAATCCCCAAAAGGAACTACTATGGGGCCTATGGGTAGGCAGACGTGGCAGTCGTGGCATTCATAACCTTCATTGTCAGAATGACAAGCACCGGGCTTGGCTTTGATTGTAGGGTTTAGGGTTTATAATGGGGTTTAGGGTTTATACGGTTTAGGGTTTAGGGTTTAGCGTTCAGGGTTCAGGGTTCAGGGTTTACGGTTTAGGGTTGGGGAGTGGGGGCACAGAGCTTTTCTCAGTTTGGGGAAGCAGTGTGCCGCATGCTCGGGTGCTTACAACTTCTGGCCCTGTGCTTGGCATTTAAGGTGCAGCAGGAGTGTACCGATTTTTTGGGAGTTACCTTTATAGGATCCTTAATGTAAAGTTGGTTAAACCAATCAAAAGGAACTACAATGGCGACTATACCCTAAGGGTCCAACTACTCAAATAGTAGAACATTGGCCCTGAAGTACCTTTGTGAGGACTACATTAAGGCCAAAGTATATACTATTTGGGTACATGGACCCTTAGGGATAGGTAGTATTGTGGCTTGCTCGGCTACTAAGCACGTCCTCTGTCGGCACCTCTTTTTCCCAGACCGGACTCAGTCCCTAACAAAGAGATCCATTACTGATAATTGTAAAAGTAGGAATAATTATGCCTGTTGCAACAGAAGTACTAGTAGCAATAATAATACTGTTAGAAATAATCATGAAGGAAATACTGTTACTAAACATGAACTTCCACGCCTCACCCCGACTCGCGAATAAAGGCCCTCTAAACCACTTCTTAAGACATCCTCGAAGATTCCTGCAAACCCTCGCTGGCTAAGCCCAATCCCTCAGTATCCCCAAGACCCTAATTACACCCTATGCCCGAAACCCGAAACCCAAGCTCCTCCAAAGTTAAGGTTTAGCGTTTAGGGTTTAGGGTTTAGGGGTTTAGGGTTTAGGGTTTAGGGTGTATGAACCAAATAACCCTGACCTCCCATACCCCAGGTCCGTACAAGCGCTACGCACCCAACAGTTCTGCCCGGTGCACTGAAAACTTGTAGCAGCGTCAGAACGGCATCGAAAAAGTCCCTGAAATGGTTTCCTGGCAGGGTTTTGAGATTGTCTGGCTTGGCTTGATGTAGGTATTTAGGACTGTAGGGCTTCGGGCTTTAATACTCTCAGGGTCTAGGGTGTTGGTGATATCAGTGCTTGACCCAGGCCCATGTTATGAGCTACTATACGATAGTAGGGGCCCACGCACACTAATGCATATCACATATAGTATGACATGCGATGATATGATACAAAATTACAGAAATAGCGTACATTGCAATGCAATAAAGCACAAAGAAACTTAAAGAAACATAAATGTATATATGCATATATACTATATATATGTATACACAAATACATACATACATATATATATATATATACACATATATGTATACGTGTATATATATATATATATATATATGTATACATATACATATATCGATATCTAGATTTCTGTATATGCAGCTCCAAGACAACGCCATACAGTACCATATGATATAGTACAGCAGCACACATTGCAATATACTACACCACGACACCATACAAAACAATACAATAACATAACATGCGATACGATACGGGGCATGCTATGCTAGGCTGTGCCATGCTATCCTGTTCTGTTCTGTGATATTAAACCCATCACATAGGGGCCTTAATAATTAGAATAGGGCTTGGGGGAATATTTTACTAGAACTATAGTAAGGAACCCCAAAACCCTCGTTTCTAAACATCAAGGCCCCTACATTACCTCCTAGAACCCTAAACCTTGGGCGCCGAAGGTCCAGAAGCTGCACCTCTGGGCTTTCGAACACGCGAGCCCCGGAAAGATCAGGAGACTATGGTTTCCACATGCCGCGGTTTATGGTTTAAGGTTTAGGGTTTAGGGGTGAAGGTTTAGGGTTTAGGGTTTAAGGTTTAGGGTTTAGGGTTTGGGGTTTCCTCTTGAGCCCATGTACCTCTGTGCTACTTAGGGTTTAGGGTTTAGGGTATAGGCTTTAGGGCTATTAATACGCTTGATGGCTGAAGCAACTACACGTGAGCGCGTGGACTCGCACATGTCGATGGAAGCTACGATATTTGAAGCCCTTACTGCAACCCATGCTACACTTCTCTTTTAGCCCTAGCAAATCCTAGCTTAAACCCGGGCTAAGAAATCTAGGCCGCAACACCTTAAGCCCGAACTCAGTAAATCGCACTCACACACCCAAAAGACCAAACCCTATAAACCCAAAACCCTAAACCCCGAAACCCTAAACCCCAAACCCCAAACCCCTACCCCTAACCCCTAAACCCCTAAACCCCAAACCTTTCAAAACCCTAAACCCTAACGCCTAAACCCTAAACTAAACCCTTCAAATCCTTAAACTCAGCCCTCGAGCCTGCCGCGATGTTGAAAGGGTGGTCCAGCTCGAGATCGGGATCCAGTCGTATCAACTCCTGCAGTTTAGGGTTTAAGGGTTTAGGGTTTAGGAGTTTAGGGCTTAGGGGTTTAGGATTTAGGGTTTAGGGATTTAGGGTTTAGGGGTTTAGGATAGGAGCAGAACCAAACCCCAAAGACCTAATCCAAAACCCAGAACTCTACGTGCAAACTCTTGAAAGCCAGAAGCAACGAAGCAGTAACATAGGGGCCGCCACGATTAGATAGGGTTTCGGGGCCCATCATACTATAAGTATAATAAGAAGCCCCCAGCGTAATATAGGTAATTACTAAGGCCCCTATAACTACTCCTAAATCCAAGACCCCCATGCTCACGAGCGCTAAACATGACCCTTAGTGTGAACAACAATTTCCTGGGTACAACTTACCGAATAAGTACACATATATACTTATCAGTGATTATGCATAACTATATCGAAGTTAAACATTATTTGTTAATTATTCCAAAGAAACACAAATCATAAATAACTGTCGATCGATGTATCGATCTGCCGGTATACCTATCTATCTATCTACCTATCTATCTTTCTATCTTTCTATCTTTCTATCTTTCTATCTTTCGATCTATCTATCTATCTATCTATCTACCTGTGTCTATCTATCTATCTATCTATCTATCTATCTATCCATCTATCTACCTATCTGTCTATCCATCTATCGATCTACCTGTCTATCTATCTGTCTATCTATCTATCTATCTATCTATCTGTCTATCTATCTATCTATCTATCTATCTATCTAACCGCCTAGCTATCCATCTATCGTTTTATCTATTTATCCATATATCTATATATATATATATATCTCTCTTTCTATCTGTCTATCGACATACACATACTTATATGCAGATACACGAATGATCACAAATGTACACCTAATTATAGTCCTATTCATATACATACGTGAACACCTAATTATACACATAATCATATGCATAGGGTATATATGTGTATGCACAGTATATAAATAGAAATATATATATATATATATTGTATATAGGGGTGTTAAGCAGACGCGTGCTATTGCTGTTTTCTGAGATCTCGATACTCTGCTTTTGACAAATAGCACCACGTTTATGGAAACAACAGTGCGATGTCCAATCAGCCCTCTCTTGCTGTAGACCACAAACCTAAACCTGAACCTGCAAGCAAACCCGTTAACCCCTAAACCCAAAACCCTGACAGTGTATTTTGAGCCCTGCACTCGAAGGGATTATGGGATCTGGGACGGGGTTTAAGCTACTTTCTTGGTTCCTAAGCTCCCGCCCGCGAAAAAACCTGAGAAGGCCCCCAGATCCCACCCTCCCCACACACGGGCGGTTTAGGGGCTTAGGGTTTAGGCTCCATGCCCATGACAGCACCGACATACATGAGAATGCTGATGAGCAAGAACGTCCACAGCAGCGTCCCCTTACCTTGGCTGGGTCGACAGGATGGAAGCTTCGAAGTCTCAACATAGCCTGGCATAAAACCGGTTTAGGGTTTAGGGTTTAGAGTTTAGGGTTTAGGGTAACCCACACAAACTCACTCCCAAAACAACACCCAAAAAGACCGACGATCGTGGACTTCAGCGTTTCGTTCGACCGAAAAATCCTACAGCCTCAACCGCTGAAGCCTTGAAACCTGCTTTGACCACAGATAACTAGTACGACTGCTCTTATAAATATTGTCAGTATTAGTATTAGCATCAGTATTAGTATTAGCGTTCTGTTATTGTCATTGTTAGTTGTATTGCAGCATTGCCATGTTTGTTGTGTTGTCGTGAGTTCCTAATTTCTCAGTTCTGGGTCCCTTCAACGCTAAACACCAAGCCCCAAACGCAACGTCATCCACAACGATGAGCATTGAAGCCCAAACCGTGACAACCTACAACCTTGACAGCTACCCGTCCCAAACCATCCTACCCATGAGGTTTCCGAAATCAGAAACCAGGCGCCCATGATGTAAACCTACGTGATCGGATCCTGCTGATTGGGCAGCTTATGCCTTGTCTTTTAAAATCACCAGTCACCCCCTCCCTCCCAAACCCTCAAGAGCCTAAACCGCAAAATCCAATTCAGAGAGCAATAACGGCTTAGGGTTTAGGGTGTGGGGTTTAGGGTATATAAACCCTAAACTCTGTAAGGTTTAGGGTTTAGGGTTGATAATAAACCCTAAACCCTATAGAGCTTGAGGGCAAAAGCCAGGGTTGATCGAACCGGCGATCCTACTCCATACTCATCTGACCTCAAGGCCCTGACGGTCAACCTAGAACTTGCAGGGTTTCCTTGCAATATGTGCATACATATATATATATATATAGATATGCATACATGTACGTAATATGTTATATATATATAGACGATGTATACTATGTATATGTATATGTGTGTGTACATCGTATAGGGGGTGTGGTCTTAGCTTTTGGGCTTTGGATGTTTAAGGCTTGCAATTCAGGTCTGACCCGTCAACCCTAAACATGCAGCGTAAACCCAAAACCGTAAATTAGAAAACCCTGCGATCGCAAAATTTGAGTATCCGCGAGTTGGAAAATACCCCACTTCAATGCCCAAACACCTATGTAGTAGTGGGTTACTGTCGCTTTAACCCCCCAATAAAACCCCATAGAGCTGCCTATCGCTTTTCGATCGATTTCTGGCCAAAGATCTATGCCAGAGACCCTGGACCAGCTGCCAAAGCGTTTTGAACTGGACCTTGGCTTTTGGGTCTTGGGTCTCGTGCCCAAAGGGTCCAAGTACTAACATGGTAGGTACTTCGTAGGTGTTTGGGCCCCCAAAGTATATACTATGCCATAACTTGGACCCTTTGGGTTGGGGTTTAGGATTTAGGGCTCAGGGTGTAGGGTCTCTTGGGGTTTAGGATTTCGGGCTCAGGGTATAGGGTCTCTTGGGGTTTAGGGTTTCGGGCTCGGGGTGTAGGGTCTCTTGGGGTTTAGGGTTTAGGGTTTAGGGCTCAGGGTTCAGGGCCTTGGGGTTTAGCATTCCAAGTAGGGCTTAAGGTTGTGGTGTTGTAGTTGTAGGGCCGCAGCCTCAGGGTTGGAGGCTTTGGGCTGCAGGATCATCCGCAGGTTTAGGGTTTAGGGTTTAGGGTTTAGGGTTTAGGGATGGATGACGGGTTTTAGGGGCAGGGCTGTCGAGCTACCTTAATTCTGGTTCCTTTTCGAGATTACCTTATAGGTTCCTTAATGTAAGATTGGCTAAACCAAAAAAGGAACTACAATGGAGACTATAGGTAGAGGGTTTTATTCGAGGGTCCAAGTGTGTAGGGATTGTGGTCAGAAGGTTTAGGCTCAGAGGGATTCGCGGTTCCAGTACTGTATCATGGAGACTGGGCCTAAGTGGTACAAGCCTTAAGGTTTAGGATTGTAGGGTTGGCGGGGTCGAGGGCTTGAATTCCTAAGGTTCTAGGGTTGTTCAATGTGCTCCGGTTGAGGACCTCCCGACTTGAAAGAGCCTATCAGGTGCTTTCCATCTCGGTGCTGCTCACATCATGGCCGCGTTCATATGGCTTCAGTTTGTGTAGCAGTCAAACACAATCTTGGGCAGGGCTTACATAAGGTTGGGATCATGTAGGACCGGATAACATTGCGTGTTTGCAGCGTCCATCTTAGGACATTGAATCAACCTCCTTCAGCTTGTTTACCTTGATGCGCCTCAACCTCACAGCGAAGCTGCCATCTTTGACACATGTCAAGTGCACACTGAGCCCGTTTATCAGGAAAATGAAGGGGACCCCAAACCGCGAACCCAAACCCCACTCAACTCTCCTACCTTAACCACCGACGCCGTGCAGGAAATCCTACACGATCAATGCCCACGCCCTACCCTTAGCTCTAAATGCCAAAACCCCGGCCCGTACCCCTATGTGCTCCCAAGATCGGTTTCAACAGACCGAAAGCCTAAACCCGAAACCTTGTAAGCTCTTAAGGACCAACTCCAGAAAAGCCCGGTGCCTAATATAGGGGCCTGAATAATCGAAATTATTAGAATAGGGTGTTGGGGCCCATTATACTATAAATATAATAAGAAACCCCCAAGATAGTATAGGTACTCCTAAGGCCCCTATATTAAACAGCCGAATCCTTCGCAGAGACAAGTCCCTACATCTCAGAGGATAATGTGGGAGTTTCTGAAAACAAGGGGTACCTTATTTTGGGGGTCCTTATAATAAGGATCCTACTATTTAGGGTACTATATTAGGGTCCCCTATTTTCGGAAATCCCCAGGAACAGTCGCGACCCGAACCCTCAATCCACTACAACCAGACCCTAATCTCAGCCTAGTGAGCTTATGGCTGCACTGAATTCGCCGGAGGTAATAAAGGGGCCTGAATAATTTGAATAGGGTTTTGGGGCCCACTATACTATACTGATACTAAGAAACCTAAAATAGTATTGGTAAAAAAGTTTAGGCCCTGACAGTACATGAGTGTGGGGTGTCAGTGTGTGTGGGATGAAAGAGCTCTCGCAGTTCAAGGTTCGGGGCTGAGGACCTGCGAGCAGGGCCTGGATGTTGTCATACGGGGATGCTAAGCTTTAGGTTTGGGGTTTCGGGTTTAGGGTTGCCATCCCTAAGGGTCCATGTGCCCAAATAGCCTTTACCTCGGCCCCAAAGTACTAGTACCTATATATAGGGAGTACTTTGAGGCCAAAGTATAAAATGCTGTATGGGCAGATGGACCCTTAGGATAGTAAATGTGGCGTAGTTACCCCTGCTGCGACATGTGACGGTGTAGGGTTTTTGGTTTTAGGGTTTAGGGTTTGGGGTTCAGGGTTTAGGGGGTATGAGAGCGGGTGAGTCATGGAGCGTGCGAGCGACTGAGTGAGCCCTTGCCAGCGAGTGTGTGCGAGATAGCAAGGGCGCGAGCGAGAACCGTTGAGTGGAGAGGAGGAGGAGTGGATTGGAGTGCATGAGTGGAGTGTCAATGTATGTCTGTAGGTATGTAAACTGTCTTTTCCCTCTATACATACGTATATATATATATATATATCCATAAAAACAATATATATATATATATGTACACATGCCTAATTTCCTGATACGACCACACCTGCACACCCGCAGAGAGAGAGAGAGAGATTGTATGTATATATATATATACATACATATAGGCATATACACACAGTACACATACATATCTCTGCGCACAATTGCATGCACACATGCACACATATCTAGACATTCTTGTCCATACATATCTGTACTTGTACAATAGACGTAGGAGCACATGTGCGTGTAGCTAAAGAAACAGATCGACGAAGAGCCGCATGCCACACAAACAGCGCAACAGACAAACCATCCGACCAGCAGGCACTCAGACCTTCATCTAACACGTGCTATCTACTACAGATGTTGTAATTGGCAAACATTCTCTTGAACGTGTTGAAAGAGCTGGACCGGCTATAGGCAAATTGCAAGCCTGGTAGTTTGTTCTTCTTGTGGGCTACGATCTGTCGTTGCGTGGAACCGTCTCGCGACATCAAACCCGAAGGGGTCCTAAGTACCCATCTCGGGGATATACTTACCCGAGCCCCAACCATGACGGTCATTCTGATCATAGAAACCCTACATTCTACCATGTTCCTTTTGGGAAAACATTGAAGCCAAGAAGCCATCAAGCGCACCGCCCGAGCTAGCCGTGCTAAGCGCAACATGCGCACCAGCATGAAGATGTTGAACTCGTCCAACTCAGTAGGGTTTAGGGTTTAGGGTTCAGGGTTTAGTCTTCATGTTGCCTAGACCCTGAGATTGAGTACAAACGTTCAATGACTTTTTGTTATGGTTAGGATCCTATAATGTCCCATAATAAGAAGCTAATTTAGGTAACCTAAAGCAACTACTAGGTTCAAGGGTCTGTGTTCTGCGATTCTTTGGTTAAAGTCTGAGCGGCCAGAGGGTGAGGAGTTTAGGGTTCTCGGGTTCTGGGCCTACGAAGGTCTGGTATTACTTTTCGGGATAACAGGAACTGTCTACATATCCCGAAATGACTCAATGATTCCGGTTTAGGGTTTAGGGTTTAGGGCTTAGGGTTTCAGGGTTATACTTCATGCTGGAGCCCTAAACCCCAGAGCCGAAAGCGTTACCCTAAGGGTCCATGTACCCAAATAGTATATACTTTGGCCTTAATGTAGTCCCCATATAGGTACTTTAGGGCCAATGTTCTAGTATTTGAGTACATGGACCCTTAGGGTTATGTACACCCGTCACATTGAACCATGCGGGCCCAAGCGCCCAATAACTGCATTAGGGTTAAGGGTTTAGGGTTTAGGCACGTGGGTTTAGGACAGAGAGTGAGAGTAGGTTAGCACGTCACCGAATAGATGAGTCATCAGACAGTCGGACCTGTATGGCAAGAATTGGACCAGCGAAGTTCAAAAGTTTAGCATTGAGGTGGCTATGATTATGGCGACAATGACTTTTATTGGCAGTACTTACTGCTATCACTACTGGTGTCTAGCAGTACTATTACTATTACAGTATTACAACTCTTATTCTGTCTTGTTACTTTTATGCGCAGGGCTTGAGGGCTTAGGGTTGGAGCCAAAACCACGATCCTGAACAGGTTCATTTATACCGCAACTGTTACATATGCACCCAACCCAAAACAGCCACAGAAGCAGGTTCTTTTTTAGAGAGGTCGTGTATTCCCACCGGCCATTTAGAGAATGCCTACGCCCTAAACCTGAACCTGGGGCCTAATGCTTGTTACGGCTAAACCGTAAAACGGTTCAGGGTTTAGCATTCAGGGGGTTGAGGGTTTAAGCGAAAACCCTGAACCTGCAAACTCCGGACCGTAAACCCAACACCCTGAACTCTAAACCCTAAAGTCCGATGCTTACGCCCAGTTGTCTGTCTGTGAAGGCCGCGGGACGACGGCAGTTGAATCAACCGCCTTGATGATCATGTCCTTCGAGTGAGGGTTTAGGGTAACCCAGAGAGCCCACTACCCCTTAATTAAGGAATATACCTTAAATCATATAATATTAAGGCCCCTACAATGTAAGGTATATTCCTTATTTGAGGGGTATTGAGTTCTCCGGGAACGTGTAAGTAGGATTAAAGGCTGAGCCTTCAGTTTGGAAGGCTCTTGTCTTGGTGTAGGAGTTGAGGGCTTGAAGTGTTTGAGAGGCTGACTCACTCCATAGCACTACATGGGCTCTTAATCGGCTTCAGTGCTGGCTTCCTAAACATTGAATGCTCAAGATAAGCTGACGGCCATCTAAATACTGCTGTAGGGCTTGAGTTTTGGGTGTCCAATTTGACCCCAAACTCTATACCTACACCCTAAACCGAATTTAACCCTAAACTCTTTCCCCTAAACCCTAAACCCTATACCCCAAGCCCTAAACCTCAACCCTGAAGCGAGCCAGAGCCTTCCAAGTTTGAGCCGCCTTGCTTCTGGGGCGATGATTAAAAAGTGGAGCCAAGGACAAGGACATGCACTCAGGGTTGAGGTAGGGCGACGTGTGTGTATGCACATATATATATATATAGAGAGAGAGAGAGAAATAGACAGATGTATATAGATATATGAATATAACATACACATATGTACACATACTCAGAACCCTGAGCCCTAAACCCCAAACCTCGAACCCTAACATCCGAGAACCCTAAATCCGCATCTGATACTGTTTGGCCTCAGGGTTGAGGGCCTCCAACGGCGCCGGGAAGCAGGGTTTAGGGTTCAGGGTGTACAGGGAACTGTGGTTTATAACTTTGGAAGCAGGTCGGGGTAGGGCTTCAAGATTTTGGGGTTTGGAGCAAAACATGGGAGTCAGCGTGTCTACAGCCAAGGCGCGCAAGATGCCGTGACCACCAAGAAACAGTCAAACTTGACCTTGTCAACGTTCCAATGTGGATTTCTGGAAATAAAATTAGGGATACCTTACTCGGCGGTCCTCATGATAAGGACTTGCTAGGCAGGGTTTGTACGATTCAGGCTTGCCTGTTTCGGGTTTGGGGATTGAAGGTTCAGGGTCTAGGGTTTTAGGGTTTAGCGCTTCGTGGTTGTTAGGGTTCAGGGCCAAAGTTCATTTCTTTAAAAGGGTTGCAGGCTTACGTTCCTGAGGTCTCTGCCCATGTCCCTTGTGCCCCAGCTTTCTCGTACAGCGGCAACCCGGGACTCGCAAAGAGTTGCAGTCGTTTCGCAACTTTAACAGGGTTTGGGTGCATACTACAGTTCTCTGGGGCTATAAGGGGCCAAGTATGCCTCTGTATGCTAAAGGGCTTCCTGTAGGTCGTGAGCCAAGTAAGCTTACCACTAATTTGAAAACCAACGCAGCAGAATCATGTACCTCTTATATTTATGAATGCAGTCGTTTCGTAACTTGAACAAGGGTTGGGTGCACTTTGCTAAGGTTTGGGTGCATATTAAAGACTACTGACCTTGCTGGGACTGTACAGGGCCAAGTATGCCTCTGGATGCTAAACGGCTTCCTGTAGGTCATGAACTAAGTAAGCTTACCACTACCGTAACACCAATACAGAGTAATCATATTCCTAATATCTATGGATGCAGTCGTTTCGTAACTTGAACAAGGGTTGGTTGCATATAAAGACTACTGACTTTGGTGAGCCTATACGGGGCCAAGCATGCCTTTGTATGCTAAACAGCTTCCTGTAGGTCATGAACTAGTTCAGTTTATCACGATTGTAACACCAATACATAGTAATCATATACCTCTTTTACTTATACTTATAAATGACTTGCTAAGCTCCATTGTGCTTGGGGCAGCGCATCAAAAACGCATCTTCGCTGCATACAGAATTTTGATGTAACCCAAGCCTACTAAATAGAAGGTTACGATCCCTCAACTGCAGGGTATGACATCCTAAACACTAAGCTCTACAACCTAAACCCTAACACCCTAAACCCTAAAGCTTTAGGTTTTAGGATCCAGGTAAGGGCGGATCTCCGGGGTCTGCAACAATAACGCTCATGTGAAGCGTATGCCGTTCTTATATGATGCTGATTATGTGGTTTTTCATGACTGTTAGAAGGTTTCTTACAGGTATGTATACATACATAGTGTACGGTGTATGTAGGGTTGTTTACGATGTCTCAAAAAGGCCTTGACAAGGGTTTTACAGCGGCTTAACTTCACCGTCATGGATAGCTTTGATCCAAGTTGGGCTCCCGCAAAAGCCGTGCAACCTCCAAATGCCCATTCTCAGCTGCGATGAACAGAGGGGTGGCGCCATTCTGATTGGCCTTGCTCTTGTCAGCATTGGCATCTAGCAAAAGCCGCACTATCTCCGACTGCCCTTTTTGAGCTGCGATGAACAAAGGGGTGGCGCCACTTTCCTCGTCGGCCTTGTCCTTGTCCGCATTGGCCTCCAGCAAAAGCCGCACTATCTCCGACTGCCCTTTCTGAGCTGCGATGTACAAAGGAGTGGCGCCATTCTGATGGGCCTTCTCCGTGTCTGCATTAGCCTCCAGCAACAGCCGCACAACCTCCAACTGTCCAGTCTGAGCTGCGATGTACAACGGGGTGGCACCATTCTGATGGACCTTCTCCTTGTCAGCACTTGCCTCCAGCAAAAGCCACACTATCTCCGACTGCCCTTTTTGAGCTGCGATGTGCAAAGAGGTAGCGCCACTTTCCTCGTCGGCCTTGTCCTTGTCGGCATTGGCCTCCAGCAATAACCGCACAATCTCCGACAGTCCTTTCTGAGCTGCGATGTACAAAGGGGTGGCGCCATTCTGATGGACCTTCTCCTTGTCTGCCTTGGCCTCCAGCAAAAGCCGCACAACCCCAAACTGTCCAGTCTGCGCTGCTATGTACAAAGGCGTGCTGCCATTCTGATTGGCCTTGTCCTTGTCCGCATTGGCCTGCAGCAAAAGCCGCACTATCTCCGAAAATCCTTTCTGAGCTGCGATGTACAAAGGGGCGGCACAATTCTGATGGGCCTTCTCCTTGTCTGCATTGGCCTCCAGCAGCAGCCGCACAACCTCCAACTGTCCAGTCTGAGCTGCGATGTACAACGGGGTGGCCCCAGTTTCCTCATCGGCCTTGTCCTTGTCCGCGTTGGCATCTAGCAGAAGCCGCACTATCTCCGACTGCCCTTTCTGAGCTGCGATGTACAAAGGGGTGGCACCATTCTGATGGGCCTTCTCCGTGTTTGCATTGGCCTCCAGCAGAAGACGCACAACCCCTGACTGTCCAGTCTGCGCTGCAATGTACAAAGGCGTGCTGCCATTCTGATTGGCCTTGTCCTTGTCCGCATTGGCCTCCAGCAAAAGCCGCACTATGTCCGAAAATCCTTTCTGAGCTGCGATGTACAAAGGGGTGGTACCATTCTGATGGACCTTTTCCTTGTCTGCAGCGGCCTCCAGCAAAAGCCGCACTATCTCTGACTGTCCATTCTCCGTTGCGATGTACAAAGGGGTTTCACCATTCTGAAGGGCCTTCTCCTTGTCTGCATCCGCTTCCAGCAAAAGCCGCACAATGTCCGACAATCCTTTCTGAGCTGCGATGTACAAAGAGGTGGCCCCAGTTTCCTCAGAGGCCTTGTCCTTGTCCGCATTGGCCTCCAGCAATAACCGCACAATGCGCGACAGTCCTTTCTGAGCTGCGATGTACAAAGGGGTGGCACCATTCTGATGGAGCTTCTCCGTGTTTGCATTGGCCTCCAGCAACAGCTGCACAACCTCAGACTGTCCAGTTTGAGCTGCGACGTACAAAGGGGTGGCGCCATTCTGATTGGCCTTTTCCTTGTCAGCATTGGCCTCCAGCAAAACCCGCACTATCTCCGAAAATCCTGTCTGAGCTGAGATGAACAAGGGGGTGGCGCCATGCTGATTGGCATTCTCCTTGTCTGCACTGGCCCCAAGCAACAGCCTCACGACCTCAAACTGTCCATTCTGAGCTGCAACGCACAAAGGGGTGTCGCCATTATGACTGGCCTTCTCCTTGTCTGCATTGGCCTCCAGCAAAAGCCGCATCACCTCGAGGTGGCCGTGCTCGGATGCTACCAACAGCGGGGCTGGATGACCAAAGCAGTCTGCATCAGGGTCTTGTGGCCTTTGGAGAAGATTCTCAACTTCTGATGTCATGCCGCTTCTTGCGGCATCCCGAAGCGCTGTCACTTGCGCTTTCGATGCTGGGCAAAAATTTAGAAGAACGACCTGAACTTCACCGGTTCTCAAGGTGCCGTCGTCATCTAGAACCGCATCATCACCCAGATGAACCAGCTTTTGCCTGAACCGTGACAGCCCAAGTATGCTGTGTAAGCGTTGCTTCAAGGCCCGTACTGGATGCATGTCTGCAGGAAGCGTCTCGTGAAAGCTCGCCAAGTCAAGAGCCACGAGTCCTTCACCCGCCACTGTGCGAATGTGTAGCATGTCCAGCATCAAAGGGAGGGGACTCGGACCCCAAAGAGCAAGATTCGGCGCATTGCTCGATTCTTACAAGGCACCTTTGCAGTTTGGCAACATGTGTGCTGCATCCCTACATTGTGTGGATGTTGTTGCTTCTCTTGCTGCAGTTGCTACTGCTGCTGCTGTTGTAATTGTGGTTCAGGGCCAGGGATTCTACCCGAAACAACCTAACCTACATGTTTGTAGGTTCTTAGTGTAAACCCTAAACAGAATTCATGACGATCCTACCAAAAAGTAAGTTCTGGTAGGTTGAGGTATGTTCTGCTGGAGCATTCACGAGGCCTCTCAGCACTGTCAGACTGCAGAGGCGCCACTGGTATCACATCCGCCGACCTTGCCCCTTGATTACGGAATATCGGAATATACACCCTAAACTCTGAACCCTAAACCTTACGTCATATTAAGGATCCTAGTACAATTTCAAATTTAAACATGTCCCAGGATTAAGGGGTTTTGGAAGGTCTGGGTCTCTACCTTAAACTGCCATCGCTAACTTGATTGAAGATCCTTATCACGAGCCCTCATAAGGAATTTGTAGGTACCCGACAAACAAGTAGGTAGTTGGGTAGCTTAAGGTGTACTTCATGGGTCAACTTTCTCACTACCTCAAACACCCTGAGCTGATGGAGTTGTGACGTTGTTTTATGGACCTGAGGGATTTTGCCCAATGGCTGTATCATAGTAGGGAGGGTCCCTGGTTGTAAGTTCATGAGAAACTGAGAAAGGAAACGGGACACATCATAGAAGTGATTGGGTGTGTGTTTGGGAGCTAGGATTAGGGGGACCCTTGGGGATATAGACTCTCTCAATAAGGTCCCTTTTAAGAGGGCCAAAATTAGGGTTCAGAAGGGGTACCCTTTAAGGGGTACCCCTAATAATAGTACCTAGTGTTACTACAGTTATCAGAGGTCTCATCTCCTTTGGCTACGCACTGAACAGTTTTCCTGCTGCTGACAAGGACGTTTAGGGTTTAGGGTTTAGGGTTTAGGGTTTAGGGTTATCCAAGAGAGAATTGAACCAAAGCATGTTCGGTCGCCCTCATATAACCCCGCTCGACTACCGACATCTCAGCGTGTCGGGTTTGTGGGTTCAAGATTTTGGGAAATCTAGGTCATCGGATTGTTGGACTCAGGGGTCAGAGTGTCTTGAGTTCTAGCCTCCAGGTTCCACAAGTGTGTCGAAACTTACGCAGAACATCCTCCCCACCCATCCACGTGAGTGCACGGCCCATCCAGACTTGAAGACTAGGACGCCATAAACGCCAACGCGGAGCAACAGCTCCACCACCTGAGCTATGGCACGTCTTTATGTGCCACATGTATGGTCGGACCACAATCAAGCATACTGGGTTGCTGTTCGTGAAGGTATTGACATATGGATGCTCACGACGGTAAACATGGCAATGGGAGGAAGATGCCAATGCCATGGACGATGGTCGAGGATGATGGTGATGCTGATGATGGCATTGTTGCTGATGCAGATACTGACCATGGCAACCCTGTTCTTGTCCCAGGCCTAAAGCTCCAAAGGGAGGGTAGGGTTTAGGGTTTAGGGTTTAGGGTTTAGCCAGTTTAGCCCTATAAGGGTCCAAATCAGCTCGAACCTCATTAGGTACTTAGGCCCTGCGATCCAGGTGCGTAGATGCCATAGAAGACGTAGTCTGCGATGGCAGTCCAGGCAGGAGGCACGGTGCCTCAAAGTCCGAGTGCTACAACCAAAAGTTGAGGGCTCTCTTAGAGCCCTAACTATAGTTTAGGGTTTAGGGTTTAGGGTGCCTGAACCGTAAATCCTCAAGGGGCTTTTGGAGAAGTTGTTACGAATGTCTGAGATGTTAGCTTCCTTGCAGGTCTGTACCCATCTGGTACTGAAGCTCTTAAACCGGGGAGACAGCCAGACCTAGTAGCTCGATACTTCTGCAAATATAAGGGGGTTGATGATCAGAGTATGATTTTCAAGGACTTCAGACGGATTCTCGAGAGCTTTAGAAGGCTATATGGACGTAATGTTGAAAGAACAGGATTTTCGGCGTAAGGCTACATAGACCTATAAAGAGTGTACAGGCAGGGCATACTCGTCCTGACGTGCATCAGCAAAGTTGCAGGAAGAGGCATGGTGGAACTTCGAGGCATGGCGGGCAATAATGTCGGGGCCTAAACAAGTACCTTTACTATTTTGGCGGTTCCTTAGTATAATTATAGTATAACATACCCCAAAGCCCAATTCTAATTATTAAGGCCCCTATATTACATGTTGTTGTGGGTGCAAGATTTGCAGTATTTCGAAGCAGGGACGCTGAACCGTAGCTAACGGAGCACTTTGGCTGGCTCTACGGGTTTATCAGCCTCAGAGGACTCCCATTGACACTCCACAGAAGTTCAGGGACGAGGGTTTAGCGTTTAGAGGTCCTAGAATGCTAATGCACTAACATCCTGCCGTGGGCCTTATGGCTGATATAGGGTCTGGATATCAGCTGTGCATGTTGGCACTTTGTAACAGCGTTCCACACACCCCACGAACTTGTTGCTGGTGCTGGCGGTCCGACTCTGCAAGAGCCATGTACAACTTGCGTGTACACATAACTCTACACGGTCACTGCACTTTAAATACCTTTAGAGGGACTCTCGGAGGAGCCCGCATTTAAAGGGCCCTGAAAGGAGTCCCTTAGAGTGCGGGGACCCTTCCAAAGTCCAGGTCAAGCGTCCTCTTCTCGGCAGCTGCTCTATCTACTTGGAGGATCATGGGACTTAGTAAGTAAGGTTATAAGTTCCTTTATTGGTTATAAGTAAATATAAGTATAGCAACCCTAATTATAACCCTACTTACTAAGTCCCATGATCCTTCAAGTATAAGCCTTTCCAACCCTAGACACCCCAAACCAAACAACACAGGGTGGAGGGTTTAGGGTAACCCCTGACACCTTAGAAAAGGGTAACCCCGGACACCTTCGAAACCCTATTTCGTAGGTTGTATGTCAAAAGTGAGGTGCAAGGAAGGTAGGTGGGGTCACCCCCGCAAAAGAATAAGCCCTAAACCCCAAGCCCATACCCCCAAACCCCCAACACCTACACCCTAAACCCTGAACCCTGAACCCTATGTAAGCCCATATCCGCAAACCCCCAACCTAAACCCTGCTTAGGGTTTAGGGTTTAGGGTTTAGGGTTTAGGGTTTAGGGTTTAGGGGTTGGGGCATCTTAAATCCCACGGATGCCAAGCCGCAAGCTTCCGGAGCCTGGATAGAGAGTCGTGTGCTTGGGCTTAAGGTTTAGGGCTTCTGGGCCTAGACCTTCGAATATCCCTTTATGCAAGAACTTACCTTAAATCATACTACGGATCCTACTTTAACTCAATAAACCCTAAACCCTAAACCACTGAAGCCTTAAACCCTAAACCCCTAAACCCTTCAACCCTAAACCGGATTCTGGAAAGGTCTTGCCGGCTTGAGGTTTGTGCTTCAGGGTTTAGGGCAGCTTGGGATTTTGGGGGCCCATGCCTCTGAGGTAACATCTATAAGGGTTACAAAAGAAAAAGCTCTACAGTTAGGGTCCGTTTTGGGGACGTTCCTGGTTGGTTGGAGGTGTCTTTGTGTGCTCCTGCACCTTGGTCAGTGACCTGGTCGCTGCTCAATTCGGCATCATAGCATCCCACGCCTTCGCACCCATTCACCCAAAGTTCAAAGGGTCCAAGTACTAATATGGTAGCTACTTTGTAGGTATTTGGTCCCAAAAGTATATACTATACACTATAACTTGGACCCTTTGGGTCAACTCGTTGATATAGCGAGTTCTCAAGGCGCTGCGCTGCCGGCTCGAGTGCCACTCGCCCCATCGAAAGCCGCGTGGAGGCTCTGAAACTGACAGTCATCATTGTACCCGGCTGCCTGCAGCTGCGCAGCTTTCGCAGTATAGGGCGCAGGGCAGCATCAGGTAAATAACGCGAACCGAGTTTTGCACGCCTCGCTCCAGAGGGAGATTGCTGCGCCCGCCCACCAAACCTTCCGTCGCTTCAGCTCGGCGACGGCCTCAGCCACTGCCTCGACCCGTTCCTTCTGCATTCTCCTGCTCCGTCTTGCTCACAGGTGCCGGCTCAGGCTGGGCAGGAGCCGGAGCAGCCTTGCTCTTCGCCTTTCCAAAACCCCAAACTCCTAAACCCTAAACCCAGGTAGGGCTTAGGGCCAAGGATTGGAGCGTTCCCACGGTTGAGCGTAAGTCCTCGGCTTGTTGCGCTCTCGAGGCCATGTATGTCGGAAAGAACCTACCCCCAAGTCGCAACCAGGACCCTAAAACCCTAAACCCTCACGCCTTTGAAGGACTACAGGTATTAGGCTGCCGGGAAAGGTCTGCATACTTCGTAGTAACATCGCCTTCCACATCATCTGACAGTAGGCAATGCTTCCCTAAACCCCAGGTACCTACTATATAGGGCCCTAGGGGCTCTAGTACCATATAGTAGGTCCCTGGGGGGTTAGGGCTTCAAGAGCCCAGTAGGTCGACAGGCTTTCGGGTTTATGGTCTCGGGCCGATCTTGATCTAGCGTTTAAGGGGGCGGTCAGGATACAGCACTCATCCGATGGATACCCAAAATGCGACCTAGTATCTTTTCCCCAGGTTCGGGCCTTTTAGGTCATTCGTGGGTCTCATGGAACATCAAACCACCCCAGAATCCTCTATACTCAACCCCCCAAAACCCTCCAAGCTCCACTCCGCGTCTCGGCTAGTAAAGTTGTCCTACAAGGTTACAACAAACAGCAAAAACAACCAACTAACTATGAACTCAAACCCAAAGTCCTATCCGCTGCACACCAAAAACTCGGAAACGTCTATGTTAACCTAAACCCGAAACCCTAAACCCTAAATAAGCTCCCTACATCCTGGCTACACCCAGCACACTAGCCCGAAACCCCAACCCAGGACCACCCTGAAACCCTTAAAAGCAGACGCCGATACGAGGCCGTGGCCAAACCACGTTCGAAGCGCTCCTCTTGACTAGTGTTCTATGAAGGTTTCGCAGGGGTTCTTTGAGGCTTCTCCAGAAGGATTCGCTGCGACCGTGGTTAAAGGTACTTGACTTGAGCCCTTCCCTAAAGGTGCAGCTAGGCTTACAAGAATTCCTAAGGAGCCGTGTATGCACGCAAGGAAATCCCCAACGTAAACCCCACTTCATGCAGTAGAACATGCGAATTTGCGGGAGGTGTGTACGCTGCTTGGTGGGCCCACGGTCCTACAGGACTGTACAACGCTGAACGACTTGGTTGATATGCTTGGCTTCTACAGGGGTTGAGATTTCGGATTCAGGGACGGCTTGGTTTGCGGTGAAGCTGAGGGCTTGAGGCAGTGAGCTGCACACAGTTTCCTGAGTCTCCTTCTTCACTGCACGCAGTTGTTGAAGGGCTGTCCCTAAACCCTAAACCCTGAACCCTCAACCCTAAACCCTAAACCCTAAACCCTGAACGCTAAACCCCAAGCCCTAAACCCTAAACCCTAGACCCTGAACTGTAAGCCCTAAACCCTAAACCCTAAACCCTAAACCCTAAATCCACTCTGAGCCCGGGAATCTGGACTTCTCCAAAGTAGGGGTCCCTTTTTAAATAGCACGGCACCCGTATAAAAAGGACC